CCTGTGTGTTTACTCATTCTGTTCTCCTTCAGTCGGTCAATTTGTTGCTGGTGGTGGTGCAAGCGTCGAAACCCTCACTTCCTACTAAGATGAACTGCCAGATCATTGCAGTAACTACGAATTCTAGCTTTTTCCATTTGAGGTCACGTTGATTTACAGATGCAGTTCACTGTTGCTCTGCTGAATCGAACTAACATGCTTAATGGGAGATTGCCATAATGCACAAACCGTGTTTCCTTGAATGCACAGTTGAGGTGAGAGGTGGTTAATGAGTACGAATACTTTGATGGAGCCGATATCATTTACCTCCAATAATGAATTGTACGCCGAACAAGCATAATCCTGATCACTGCACATCGTCCTTAATATTACCAAGGCAAACTGTCCCGATCTAATGAGACAGCTTGTTCCAAAGGAATAATAGTGAAATGACCATATGGTTCACCAGCAAATTTTTGTTGTTGTTGGAGGAGGAGGAGAAGGAAGAACAATTAATTCTTTCATCGGCTAGTTAGAGCGCTTGTGTCTTCATTCCGACTTCCGAAATTTTGTTCGAGGCAACGGGCACGTAATCTAACGTTGCTGTTGTGAGTGCCATTACATGCACTGCTGGTAGAGCACAGACATAATGCTCCAATTCGTGAATATGAAGTCTTGGCAGCTTCTGACGGGTGCTGTTTTAGGTGTAGATAGCGTAGGAGAGTGCATTCCAATTGACGTTGTGAGACAGATTAAAAAAGAATGGGAGGGACCCGTCCTTTTATTCTCCCCATTCCATCTTCCACCGCAATACTACAGTGTCGCACGGCATTCCCTTGTTGAATTGCTGCTAAGCACATTTCTTCCCACAGCTGCATTGATTGCAGCCTCAATCTAACATTCTGTTCACAATTCTTCCAACATACAACACATCGTACAGCGATGTCACAATTGTCCAGTTATGAGACATCGTGAAATGGTGTTAAAATAAATTGGCAATGCCACCAAATGGTCTAATCTTGCGCTATGGTGAATGGGAGAAGCACATCCTGGCAAGTAGCTAGTCATCCTATTTAGTCCATTGGGAAAAAGTAACCAGCATTACAACGTTTTCATTTTACGCGATTTAACTTAGCACTTTGCCATGGGCTTGAGTTGTAAATAAATCCTGTAACGCTAATAGATTGTAAAACACGATTGAGCATTTGAGAGCATGTATATCAAGGGAGACTCTCGTAAAACATCCTCCGAAATGGCAACCGTGTAAGATGCAGTTGTCCTTGCGAATCCTCACAATAATACTAATCGCAATGCATGGAAATACTACATTGTTTTTTTTTTCACTAAACAGATGCAGATTTATTTCTTTTTATGGCTAAAGTGAGAAAGTTAAAAAAAATGACAAATTGCACCGCTTTGGTAGTCCCAATTTCTATCACAATTTTCTATCACTTTGCTGTGCACTAAAAATCCTTAAACATATTCAACTTGCGTAAATGCACAAAAGCAACACGTGAGGCAATCCTGATCCTGCCATTGCAGTGAAATGCTGCTCGATTTGGATCAATGATAGAAAGGCCTTAACTATTCACAGCACATGGAAACCCTCTAGCCCATCATTAGCACTTGATGGTGTGGACACAGTCACTGACTCACAACTTGGTGACCTCCATCAGACAGACTGGATACCCATACGCACACACACAACACGAGTGTTTTGACTCAGTAGCCTTAGCCATTCAGGTCGTCTGTCCTCATACCTTCACCTTCTCAGTGTTTGCATTTCGGTCTAGTTAGTATGCAGACATGCATCACCACCACATAGAATCTGCAGATCACAAGTATTGGTAACCAGTTCAAAACAGTGGCAACTTAGTTTATGTCATTCGCGTTTTGTTTCACATCAAGCTCAAAAGGTCAATGTTGAGCTTTCTTGGTCGCAATCACCGCAACAGTCCCCATTCTGATTGCTTGGACCTGACGCAGAAGCAAAGGCTGTGGCATTCGAACGCGCATCGACCTTTTCTTATGCTTCTCTTGGCCCGTCTCTCAGGCTCATGTAGCAGGTGCTCCTCTTGCTATCCAATTACGCGCTCCTACAGCTAATTAAAAAGGCTTGCGAGGGGTGTGTGGATGTATAATGGTTAACGGACAAAACTGCAGCACTATTGTGACAAGGGTAGGTCCTAATTGTCATTCATCTGAGGTACCATCATGTGACGTGCTTAATGAGGAATATTCCACTTGTCTGCA